AGCAAAACCGAAAGATCCACAATTTCAAGCTACAGCTGATTATGATATTATTTCAAAAACAATTACCATAAATGTGGAAGAAATATCTCGTCAAAATAAATATGAAGGTATGTCTGATTGCATTGATCTAAAGGAAGCGAAGAAGTTTTGTATTTGCACAGACAAATCTTAGTGTTTGTTCGTACTATTTAAGAGTGATATGTCCACGGTAGCGGGTACAAAATGACAATGATATTTAAAAAAGGGTTTGCATAAAAAGTGATTTCTTTGCAGAAGCAATTTTATTACTGTTAATGCAACCTCAATTTTCGCACGGAATGAAAGCATGAAATTCTTTTAGAATTAGATCCGGTTACTTCCAGTGTTTCCGGGTGCCGAAAATAATAATTGCACCAAGAACAATCACACTTTTTCACATTTTGGTGCAAGACAACAAAAACTACAACTTAATTTTCAACGAACTACTTGCATTTAAGCATTACTACTTTTTGGAAATTTATTCCAAACGGCAACACCAAAGCTCTGGTGTAAGTGAATAATATCAACATAGCTTCCAGAAATAAATGTTAAGGATAAGGTTTACAGACTGGCCCTGGATAAAGTTTATACACTCTTCTCGATATTTCAGAACTAAAAGATTCTCGTGACCAAAATATATGTACATACATACATACGTGAACCAAGTGAAAATCTCTCACTCTTCCGTGTTGTCGTCATATCCGCGAATCGCTAAACTTCGAATACTTGCGAAATTCATGTTTAAAGATATTTATCCCTATAAGATTTTTGTCTTTCGCGAGCAATCCGAATTGAAACCAGAGGCATAACTATTATTATAGTAAGAAAAAAATGTTTCGAGTCATCTATAGCTATAACTGTTAGACTTACATATGTATGTATGTATGTTTATAACAAAAGTATTTTCAAAATAATTACACCAGTCAACACGATTTTGGGTCTGACTTCTACATGCTAAATTTAAGTTTCTCCTACGCTAAAAATAAGAAAAAACAATTTTTTTTTTATCAAAGTTTGGTTTTGTAAAAGCTAGAGCAATTTTTAATTTTTTCTTGAAAAATCACTAATTTGTATATATTTATTTTTTATAATTTTACTTTAAATTATGATTAGAAAAGTTTTTGCTGAATCAATTCATTTTGATCAATTGGTCGATTTGAATTTCAAGTGTTTTTCTTATGTTTTGAATGAGAATCTAAGCATGAGAACAGAAACCCAAAGAAAAAAAAATGTTTTTGTTGACCGGTGTTATGAGCGAAAACTAGTCCCGAAAAAGTCCTGAAATATTCCTAAACTAAGCCCATAATGATTTCGAAAAAGTCTTAAACCAAATAGTCCCGAAATTATTTCAGAAAAATCCCGAACTAGTCCCGAAATGTTCCCGAGCTAGTACCGAAACAGTACTGAACAAGTTCCATTCTTTAAGACTTAAAAATTGTTTCCTCACTAATAACTCGAACTCGAACGAGCCAGATTCGGATTCAGTGAGTCGAAATACATGTCAGTAGGTTGGACTGTTTAAATGAAAATAAAAATCTTTGAAGACTTAAAAAAATTTATCTCGCTGATAACACAGTAGGAAGGCAAAAATATTACAACTAAACGGCCAAACACGTAAACTTAATGCTGACCGCTAAATTATGATACATAAGTACCGTTCTCAGAAAATCTGTATCACGTCTAAAATTTGAGATACTTAAGGAAGTTCAACAGAGAAAGAACAAATCAAGCTACTATTGAAGGAAATCGGTGGATAAATAAAAGAGTGCGGCATAGGTAAATGAAAATGTCCATTAATATTTTTATATGAAATTGACGGATATGAGGTAAATGTTTAGTTGTTTAGCAATCTCCAATTAGAAATATTTATTACTTTCTTTACAAATATTGAAACATACATATTCCTCTATCCATAATTGACTTAGTCATACATATTTTTATACGGTCAAATACCAGCGTACGATATACAAGCTTATACAGCCGAAACCGGGTAATTGCAATTTTTACGGCCATTCCGTTGAATTAACAGCGGTTTTCAATTAGCAGAACTTTGGTTAAATGCAACAGTAGTCAATTAAGTGAACTTTTCAATTTCATAATTCGAACTAAGTCAGCTGGCTCGACAAATTTTATGAAATCAGCTGATCAGTGATCACTTATTAGGTGCGTTCGTTTAAAATCTCCAGTAAAAACCAACCAACTGCCAAATTCCGGCGAAATGTCATCTGTTCTCTCACAAGAGAAAAATATCCCAAATAGTATGCGAACAGAAAATTTGCAGAAACTTGCAAATTAGATGAACAGCTGATATAATTTTTGTTTACATTCAAAAGTGTAAAATTTAAAACGTACGAAAAGCCAACACAAAGTGTTATACTGACACAGTTTATTGATTAAACAAATAACTACTTATTTCTTACAAGTTTAATTAGTCACAATTTGTAATTTTTAACTTCCAAACCATCAAATTCAATTTTGTGATTTGCGTAAATGCCAACCAGTTGATCAGCTGTTTTCCTGTTGGCAAATTGCTGTTGGCAAAAATTTTTCCAGCAGCTTCCCCTCAAAATGAAATGTCACTTTGCTCTCTCAATTTCCCCTACTTTGAAAGTTTTTTGCGTACGCGAACGCAAAAACTGGTAAGTTTTGGTTAAACATGAACAATTAACAGCTACGCGAACGAACCTAATTGCGTGAACCGAGTTGATATTTCGAAAACAGTTCCAAGGTCGTTTTATGTTGTGAAGTTGAGTTGAAAAAACAGTTGCATTTAAACGCATCGGAACTAGTGTATATATTTTCGAATTTCGGAACATAAATGTTGTTACATCCATCTAATATTTTCATTTAGCCGAAGTCTGAAATAATCGATGTAATGTAATAATTTATATGAAAAATCTAAAGTAAAATTGGGGCCAGAGTTTCCGTGTCAATTAAACAGAGCGTTAAGTGAACTGGTTTGCAGCTATCCGGTTTGAACTGTTGCGTAATATCTGCCCACCGAACTTAACTTGTTTTAAACTGAACCTCCGGAGGTTTTCCGTGTATATAGGTATACGAACGATATCAATCCAATTGCGTCAGCGTGCTTCATTGTAAAATATCATATCCTGCTGAGGCATCATCAATTTACATTAAATTACAAAACCATTATGTTTTCCAACAGTATTAACACAGACGTAATCATGTAATGTAATGCAATGTAATGTAATTCAAGTAATTCAATGTTATGAAATGTAAAGCAATGTCATGTAATGAGATGTAGTGTAGTCCAATGTAATGCAATGCAATGTGGCATAATAGGGCTGTTCAGGATGTTGTGGAAATGGTCTTGGATATGCAATTGGTATTGCATTTGCAAATTTTTTGCTGGCTGCCATGGCAGCAGTGTGCATTTTATTGTTGTGAATTTATAAATGCAACGAATATGCAAATCCAAGAGCATATGCACAAGATCCCTAACAGCCCTAATGTAATGTATTGTAAGATAATGTAATGCAATTCAACGTAATGAAATGTGATGTAATTTAATGGAAAATTTGAATCTCGAAGCTCCGAATATCAAATATACCCATCCCGTAATGTAACGTAATTTAATATAATGTATTGTAATGTAATGTAATCCAATGTAATGTAATGCAGTATAATTTAATGTATTTTAATATAATTTAATGTAATGTAATGCAACGTCATTTAATACAATGCAATGCAATGTAACGTAATGCCATGTAATGTAGTGTAATGTAATGTAATTCAATGTTTTTTTTACTGTTTTGTAATATTAAGTTAAATTAAGTTAGTAGAGCTAAATTAGGTTAAGACGCCAAGAGGTTAGAGGCCTGTGAAGCAATAAATTAAGGTATATTTTTAAGTCAGTGGCTATAACGGTTATATATAAAAATTATAATTTAAGCGTTATTTTATAATTTTTATTTTTTAGATCAAGAATAATCGTTATTTTTTGTATTTTTACTTTATCATAATTTATTTGTTTTTATTTTTTCGATAATTTTATAACTGTTATTTTTGGATAAAATTTTTTAGACAATAACTGATTTAAGTCGGTCCAAAAAACGCAACCTCCATCGAAAAAAATTAAAAAACATATTTGACGATGTTTTGCAATGATCTAAAAATAAATATTCTGATATTTAACGGTTATTTTCGGTTCCTGATTTAAATTAATGTGCCAGTTAATTTCTATTAATTTTCTAAGCAGTATTATAATCGTATGTACACTTACGATCAAAAAAAACAGTAGCCCAACATTTTGACTGGTTTTGACTATTTTAATTTGTTATTAAAATATAGCTTATAATATAACTAAAACTAAGAATTAAAAGATTCAAAAAATTTTTGCAAAAATTTCAAACACAATTTGGTCGCGCCTTTTTTCTATACAAAAAATGTTATTTAATTTTTTAAATAAACAATAAAACCTTAAAGGTATAAGCAGGGGTGTTTTTTCCTAACATTATCGATAATACAAAATGACGTTTTGCTATGAGTGGTTTAAAAATCAAACCAAAATGTTTTCATTCTAGTTTCTGGGTTTAATATATAGAAAATTTTGTTTAAAATCTAAACCGAAATAGAAAATGTTTGCCTCAATATGCTTTATTTTATATGTCTCTCAGAGAGAGACAGAGCAAATCTTATGAACTGCCGGCATCAACAGAGCGATATCATCCACACAAAATACTTATGTTCTAAAATATGTACTCGTATTTATATATCGAAGAAAATGCACAACTTCGAAATTGCACCTTATTATATTGAAATTAAATTGGCTATAAAAAGGCAAACCCAAAACTTTTCTGAAAAATCTGATTAAAAAATTTTAAGTTATGATAGCAAATTTGTGAAACTGGTTGAATTTTCGCGAATTTCGCATTTATTGACAAATTTTACATGGCAAAATTACTTGATTGGTTTATGAATTACGAATGAGCCGTAAACTGCAATAATGTGAAAATGCTTTATAAAATACTTTTTCAGTTCAAAATTTTCAAATCGCTCAAATTAAAACCCCGAAAATTAAATCATGTTTTAAAAAATCATGTTACTTTTATATTTGTGTAGTCAATTTAAACTTATTTGAAATGTGGACCCAAGTCGCCTTCCCCCTCTCCTTCCCCCTCTCCCCCTCAACGAAAAGTCTTTATCCGCCACTGCCTCCAAATGTGTGTTCAGGCATCTCCATTTGTGCAACAACATCAAGACGCAAACCGCAACCTGGCGGAGAAGTTCGGTTAAACAAGTAGAAAAATGTGTAAGCGCCAAATATTTATTTTCTTTTTACATACATACATATGTAAATATTAATACTAATTTTACTCCTTGTACATAGATAGTATAGGCAAAA